TGACACACTCAGCTGCTGGCTGTCTGCTCAAAAACTCAGACCTTCTTAAACACATTACACATCTCTTCTCTCTGTGCTACTTTCCACTTAAACAATTGAGTTAAAAATTTTCTCCAAGATAGTCAGTGTCCTGGGGCAGTATCTAAAAAAACAACTTTCAGGATGGGGACTGTGCAGATCCCCCTGCCTCACACTCCACCTGAAGGAGGCATTTCTACTTTCCCAGTAGGAAAATGAAATCATAGGCCAGGTAGGAAAATCCCCAAGCTGAACACTGTCAAAACCCTGACCTGCAGTCAGAGTCCTGCCATTTGGAGTGAGGGAAGAGAAAACCACCTGTAACAAAAGCAATGCTTCTCAGTATGGGGTATTGTGATAATAGCAGTCAGAAAATTATGCATGCAGGACCAAGGAGAAGTGCAGTAATGCTGCTCACCCTGCAGCAACAGGACTAACGATGGAAATGCTCCTACTGCTAGTAGGCAGCACCCTGTTCTGCACAGCTGAACCCCAGTTTGAAGAGTACGGTGAAACACCTGCACTGATACAGCTAACAATCTTTGGAAAACACCACCAGACCTGCCGAAATGTTGGTGACCCTTTATTGCCCCCCTCACTGACACAGCCCTGCATCATTTACTTCAATGTAAATCACTCTAATCATCAAAATGACAGATGAAGAAAGGAAAGGAGGAACTTCTGCATCCTCAGGTTTGCTCCCCCATCTCCGCTGGGGATTCCTTTACTGCAAACAGCCCTAGTATTATTATCATTTACAGTAGCAATCACTCCGTCCCCTCCTCTCCCACAAACCTACTGCTGATATTAGCACTGATCATACTAACAAGCCTGTGGGTTTTATTACTACTGATACTAATAATACTGGACACATTACGTCTGCTCCCGCCAATAACAGGCTGCAGATATGATCCCTGCTAATGCTGATAATACTGGGGGATATTATCTCTGCCATTGTCGGCACTGCAGATATTATTGCCAGTAATGCTGTCAAATACTACAGATATTGTCAGGGACCAAGATTAATAATGCTGAGAATGTTACAGCACCAGCCTCACTGGAAGACGAATCCCAGATGAGAATTTGCATCTATAGAGGAAGTCTATTTGTGGCCTGCTATAGAGAGAAAAAGCAATCTCTAACAGGAGTGGTTTTATAAAGGTCCCAAAAGTTTCACCCAGCTGGAGATGCTGTGGTATGAGGGAACAGTTTGAAATACTGTTTTCATATTATATAATTATCTGTCTATCTATCCATCCCATCTATCTACCCATCCTTCTGTTTCTCCACATCTCTCCCTTTTTCTCCTTATTCAGTGCTCAAGACTACAGTGTAAGTGATACTAATTTTTTGTTAGTGCCTCTGGATCACCCCAATTCTCATCCTTTCAGCTATCAGTCAGGGTTTACGGAACAACAGAAATATTTGCATATTATTTTTCCTCTTTATCCTTCTGGACTTCTGCTGCTCCTTAGTCTGACAGTGACCCTGCTGAGCTTGGCCTGCCATCACAGCACAGTACAACATTAGGATCATGAAGAGCCAGGAATTCCTGTTTCTAGCTGCAGCTTGATACTGCAAGACACTCCGTGGTCTCGGGAAAGTCATTACACGCTGCAGGGCTACTTCTGCCTCTGCAAGATGGTGGGTGTAAGTGGTGGGTAAGGTCAGAGGGAAATTACAGCATCATTGGCAGTGCCCATAGACTGCAAGAAATGGCACACACTGTGCTACAGAAGTGGTGGTGAAGTTTTTTAGCCAAATCATTTAAAGAGTCATAGCAGACCAACTCTCTGCTTCGTCTAATCTGTCATGGAAGTCAGAGGGTTTACAATCTCTGGTCAAAAACTGAAACAAAAGAAAGGCATGGTCTTAACAGGGCAAATCCTGACCATCCTTCCTAGGTACTCACCTGAGGAAGACACACTGAGTTTTGAGGAAAGACTTGTGATCTGACAGTTCCTTGTTGTGACAAGTAGACACTCAGAGCTACCTCCCTGCTAGCTAGCTCTCTCAATGCCATAGTCTCCCCAGGCCATCCTTGCCATTGCAACCAGCACATTTGGTAGGTTGGGATTTCCCTTCTTCCCTCTAACTCCCTGTGAGGGACACACCTGGCTGTCAGCGTCCATCGCTGAGCCCACCTCATGCATCTGTCTGGCTCCGTCTGTCCAACTCGGGAGTTCTGCTACATCATCTTGACACATAATTATCTCTTCTCTTCTTAGTCATCTGTACTACTGTCTAATGTAGGCACCAGCTGCAGCAAGGAGGACCTGGGGAGGGGGTGTGCTCAGATAGAGGCTCCACTGTCTTTCTCCCACCCTGTTCCCCTCAGCCATCACAGAGGTTGCTAACAAGGTTTTCAGAACTGGGGATTCAGGAGCAGCTTGGTACTTCCCCCTCTTTATGCTGCATTCCTCACATAGGAATCCTTGCAGCAGAGCTGGTCCAACAGAGCAGAAAGAAAGAGACAGCAGTGTTGCTTCTTCTGCCTCCTTTAGGGAAGAGCCACCCCCAAAATGCTGGGAAAGTAGATGTGCGTTGGGAGCTCATAAGGGCTTTTCAACGTGAGAATAAACCCTGCAGTTAAGAAACTGCAAGAAAACAGTGCTCAGAAGCTCTGGGAAATACTGAGAAGGTGTATGCACCTAGCATGAGCATGAAAGAAATACCTGCACTGGATTTCTTGCCAGGCTTTTCTAATCCCCATCTCAGCTAGGAACACTCAGAGCCCTCAGAGCTACAGGGAAGACTGCCCAGGAAGGAGTGCAGGTCACTGGCTGTGCAAAACCTCCTCTTGGACCCTTCTAGCCTTAGGACCCAACCTTGCAAAGTAATGGTATCTTTCAGCATTTCTTAAGGCCAGTGTGAGCCCAGATAACTCAACTCTTGGCTAGGGGTGTTCAGCAGCTGGCAGGGGGTCCCATGTGAGGTTTCTCTGGGACAGGAGCGTGACATCTCCCTGCAGCAGATATCTGGGATGGCAGGATAAAGGCTGTTCTCTAAGGCAGTTGCAGCTGTGTCATGTATCTGCCACCTAAAACTCTGAGAGCTAAAGACAAGCAGCGTCTGCAGGACTGACTGGTACCTTTTTGATTCCAAGTGGGATAAGGGGGCTCTTGGCCAACAGCAGGGAGTTGCAGAAGTGTTGCTTGCCCTTCATAAATCAGATCTGGGATGAATTAAGGACAGACACAGAGAGTTGTTCTTACTGTCAATATATCATTGTGAAGTGTCATAGTCTTAGATGGCTGCTTGGTTGTTTCTGTGTTTAATTGTACTGCTCCAAAAAAGCTCAGGTTCTGAGGCTGGAAGTGACTGTGTGGCTGCATCTAAAGTGGGATGATCTTTCCCAGTATTTGGAAAGAATACCTGCTAAAGCCAGATTGAACTGCTTCACTTCAAATTGAGATATGGAGGCACCATGTTGAGAGCTGGTGGTCACCACGCTGGACTGTATGAGAACAGAGGTTCACAAAAACCCCAACTAACTGCCAAGACATTTGCACAACCATTAGAGAAACTTGTCAGTCAGTTTGAAATGTCACTGTTTCCTGTAAATGTAATAATGGGAAATGCTGGAGGGGTTTGCAATGTTTGCAGTCTCTTATTCCTGACATTTTTTGACTTTGAGGTGTTGACTCAGCCCTTCCATTGCTACACTTTTCTCTTAGCTGGGCCCTACTGCCATCTAGCTGGGAAATGGATCTTCCTCTGGGGCCTGATCCAATTTCCAATGACATCAGCAAAAATCTTCCCATTTGCTTTAACAGGAGCTGGATTAGGTCCTTGCCTGTAGTTTTACTTTGTATTAGGGAGAAAGGGGTCATGATGACTGCCTTTTTTTCTTGGGATTATTGTGTTTATTTGGATCAAAAACTTACACATGTGAACCTCACCAGAACCAGTGCTGAGAAAATTACTAGCAAACCCCCCTAAATGCAGCATGTCTATCAGGAGAGCTTTTTCTTCTCACCACGTATCACAGAGAACCCTCATGTTCTCTTGCACTGCACAGCCTTGGAGTTACAGCACACGCAGCACACTGAGCCACCTGTACTGCTAAGAGGTCCCCACACACAACAGGCAACAGTGGAAAACAACATACTGAAGGCAGGGCTGAACCGAACAAACTGGTCAGGCACTAGCCTTAGAAAAGTTTGCCTCCGGGCCCTCAATTTTTGCATGCATCAAATTAAAAGAGCAAGATTTAAGAAAAAAAATTTACGTAGCCACCATAAGATCACCAAGACCTTACCCACCCCTCCTGACTCAGTCCAGGCCTGAGGCTCCAGCTTTTGGTTCATTTCAGGATTCATTTTGCCCTAAAGTCCTTCCCAGCAGGTAGGAAGGAAAAGGAGATAGCTTAATCCTAATTCCTTAGAGCCCTAGCAAAAGGCTTAGATGACAACCTTAGGGCCCCAGTACTCAGAAGACCTCCTGTTCTGCCTTCAGACTGTTGCAAGCATGGCAGTTCTGCTGTGGTAGATGCTACCCATTGAAAACTGGACCCTTACGATCACCAGCTAATGTAGCTCATGGCACTTCACAGGGCAGGAACTTGTTTGCAAGGGGAATGGAAGGTAACTCCCACATTGCTGGTGCTTCTCTGAGATGGCATTTTGTTTGAAAACGAGTTAGTCGGGGAAACCATGTTTACCCGCAGTTCAAAGTCCGGGCACCTGCTGGCACCTGGGGAGTTCAGTTCCAGCCACTTCCAGCAGTGAATGAACTTGGGATCAGCTCCAGCAATGGAGACGGCTCTCTGCCTGCCGAGCAGATGTCTGGAGATGCAGCCTGTCATGAAAGGGCCTCGGAAGAAGAGCATTCCAAGCCAGCAGGGCAGTGGCGGAGAACTGGTCTCTGTTGCTAAAACTGATCTAGCCCCTGGAGCAGCTGCAAACCTTGGCCTGAAATTGGAGCCTGTACATGGGGACAAAGAATATAAAAGGGAGGATGAGCTTCTCCCCTCCCCCTACCTTCATCACGTTTCCTCTTCTCGCCATTCGACCGAGGAATCCCCAGGATCCCGTTAATGGAGTAAGAGCCCACTGGATCATTGGAGGCACTGGAGACGGGAGGGGATGCTGTGCTGGGCACTGAACAAAAGGAAAAGGGAAAAAGGGCCATGAGGAGAGCAGCACAGCACTCGGGGATCCAGCTGAAAGCTACGCATGCCAGCAGTCTCATAGGAAAGCGTGGACACTAAGCAGACTCCCAGTCCCTCACACTGAAGGATTCATACTCGCTCTACTCCTAATGTTGCTGCATCCCAGCTTTGCCAGTCCAGTCCTATACTGTGGCTCCACAGCCTTCCAGTACAAGGCCACTAATAACAAGCAAGTGTATTCCATCAAGAAGCTAAACCTTGTTGTTATATCCCAGTTCAGAGCAGGCTTCCCAGTGCATGCCATGGTAACAGACTGCAATGCTGCAGAGGCCACATTCTCTGGTGACTTCCTAGTCCATCCGTATTTTGCCAGAACATTTCCTCTCGGCATTTTTCCACCAGGAGTGCACATGTTCTGTCTTAGGTGGACCAGCTTCTTACATGTCCACCCAAAACACTCATTGAAAAATTACCTTCTTAGCATAGGTTAGAACCACTTCAGTGTCAGGCCAATAAATTCAGTTCCTTACTAGAACAAACAGTGAGTTTGATACATACTTCAACCCACATAGATAAAAATCTAGTGTCTTCCTTTTGCACTGACCAGTGTCAAGAGGCAGACTCCTCCTGCCACTCAGGGCTGTCCAAGATTGCTCATGAGCTTCCAATATATCAGAAATGACAAGTCATCCAGATTAGAAATGCTCACTTCATGATATTCAGGGCTTTAGAGTATAGAACAAGTAGAGCTATGCATCCAGTAGGCATGCCCATTATGTCCCAGCATGTCCCAGTAATGGGGAGAATATCCCAATTCTCTTATAGGCCACTACCCGTCATTCAGCTCATAAAGCACTGACCTAAAGCAATCAGTACCTCCGATATAAGCCTTCCAGGATAGAGCAGAACCTGTCAACATTATCTGATATAGACCCAACTTCCCAGTATATCCCAGAGCAATGAGAGACTCCAGTAGCAGCACTCACAATCACTATCCCAGCTCAGCCAATGCATTCCCTAGACATTACACTACTTTTCCAAGCAGCAATAATATCTGCCAACTCCATCTGTTGTGGTCAGTGATTCCCAGTCCAGTGAGCAAGTCCAGATTAAAAGGGCATGCAGACCACCACCAATTGTGGTCCTGAACACAATTCATGTAGAGGATTGTATCTGCCAGCTCTGTCCCATGTAGACCAGCAGTTTCCAGTAAATCCTTGTATTCAGGTACAGCAGGAGATTTTCAGTAACCAACAGTACATAAGACAGTGTGTTAGGCCACGAAAAAGCCACTGTATTTCACAGTATCCCAGAATGCTCTGAATTATTACTGGATAAAGCTATGCTACCAGCAGCAGACATATGCACCATGCAGCCCACAGAGCAAAAAGTACCTCGTCACACATCTAGCCCAGTACCTTTAAACACAACAGACTAGGAGACATTTGGTCACTTTATTACAGCCTCCATCTTCTGCTCACCTTGATAAACCCATCTACCCCAGCAGAAAATGCATTTTCTCAGTGAAATACACCCATGGGACACCTGACTGCAGAGCTAGAACAGTGAAGAACTCGGTTGTGAGGCATCAGGAATATCTTACCCGTGTCTGTGTGTTACTAGCTCTAAGAAATGGATCAGTTCCAGCAAAGGGAGAGAAGAAAAACTGGGAGAGAGAGGGGAAAAGGGAGTCAAGAGTAAGAAGGAGACAAAAGGTAAAGACTGGTGCTTAGACAGGATACCAGTAAATACTTCTCTCTAGGGAGGCAAAGGAGAGAGCGTGAACGTGGAATGGATGTTAAGGCAGAACCACTCTGGGCAAACACCTGCCTTGTGCTGGTTTCTCTGCCATGATTCCCTTCTCTGTAATGCAATGGGGGAAACGAAGAACAGAAACCTCTGATTTCCATTGAGGTTTCTTTCCCCTCACCCCCTCCTCCCTTTTGCTCTGTTTAGCATCTGCTTGTCAGACTTTGTTGCCTCAACTAAGCTTCATCCTCATTCCTACTTGTCCTGTCACCACCCTTCATGCCAGTCTTCTTACCAATAGTATGTCCTGGTGCAGTCACACCTGTCCCGCTCCCATCTGGTGTTGGGTGAAAAGGTTGCTGAACTTTGGTTCTGATGATCCTGGAAAAGAGCAAAACATGTTCAGAACTCAATCGCAACTTCTCTGTGCCTGTGCATACCCGCAATCCCAGCTATCAGAACCTGAAGGTCTGATCTGAGCTCTGGGTGCAGCAGAGTGGCTTCATTTGCCTCCCGTGGTCCTGATTCTACTGCATTAGTGGTCCAGTTCCCAGAGAATTGTCCTTCCTCTGCTCTGTCATCTTTTCCCCAAGCTTGGATATTCACTGCATAACTATGGTGCTCCATGAACGAGCTGGGATCTCCTGTGTGTTAGCAACAGCATTATCATTTATGATCTGATCTGCCAGCATGATCACAAGGCAGTCTTTGCAGCTAACAGATCTAGTGCTGGATTTACAAATGGTGTAGATTTAATTTTGTTGTGTACCTGAAAAATACCTTTCTGGCATAGAACTGAATGCTCTGAACTGATGCAAGGCTTGCCCAAAGCCCTTGCCTTTCATAAATGAGAAGGTGGGAGCAGAAGTCATCTGTAGGAAGTGGTGAAGGGATATAGATCACCAGGAAAAAGAAGCTCCAGCAAAGAGGCCAAAACTTGATGTTTATCAGGTGGTGAATGAACACAGCATGGGAACTCAAAAAGATGTCTCAGTGAATGCCACAAAGCTCATAGTGCAGCTCAGAATGAAAATAAACTGAACTATAATTGTCAGTGCTCTGTTTCTTGTTACATGAAATCTTTCACCTCTAGGTCACTGGTTTAAATCCAGCTGAGGTCAGTAGTGAAAGAAAATCACTAGCACCTGCTGCTTGACTGGCAAGGACCCTGCCTACTGGCAAATGCTGGGTATCTGTGACTCAGGAACGACTGTCTCACCAAGGAACTCAGCAAATAAGCCATGACCTGTGGAGGCCATGGAGACCAGATTCCTTTCTGAGGTTTAAATGAGCCTCTCCAATTAGGGTGAAGGCTGCAGATGCTCTTTAGCCTGAGTTACTGGAACTCTCAACCCTGCATTATATTAGCTTCAACTTCTCCCCAAAAGTCTCTCCAGAAAGTGAAAGCAAGTAACACATTCTCCCTGCCCACCCGAGCGCTTACCTTAAAGATTTGTTCTATAGAAAAAGTTAGCAAAACTTTAAGGAGCAAATGTGTGGCTAGTGGGCAGTATGGCATGGATAGAGATAGGTGGAGACATTGAGAGAGCATTTTTGAAGAAGCACAACTCTTGAGAGTGAAATCTTCTTAGGAAAAGAAAGGTATTTCAGAGCGTACCTCAGCATGTTAGGAAACTCCAATAGACACATAATGAAGCCTGGGCAGTAGCTGGAGTGGCAGAGAGGCTGCCTGGGACATAGCTGGAGACAGGGAATGTCAAAGCTCTAGCTGGGGATGGAGATCCAGATCCTCACCCCTGGTCAGTGGTACCAGGGGCCCTAAACTATAGCTGCCGAGGACCTATACAGAAGGTGTCTGAGGGCCTCAGGGCCAGATTCTGACGTCATGCTGATTTGCACTACCTGAGGAGATGATCTGAGAAGTCTGTGCTAGGGCAAATAATATAACTTTTTTCTTCTTTTCTGTTTTTTTCTTTTCTCTTCTCTCACATTCCCCCTAAAACCCCCTGAAGTGCCACTCTGGTTGTGTGAGTTTATTGATTTCCCCCAGCCCAGAGAAACAGAAAGAGGGGATGGGGTGCAGGCAAAGGGATGGAAATAGAAAGCTATAAATTATTTGTGACAGGAAAGCAATAGTGCCAGAGTGCTGAGCACAAGTCCCGTGTCACTATTAGATTCCTTTTAGCCTGATGACACTGTAAAAGAGGTTAAGTGTCTGATGGAATCGTACACCTTGGGGGCAGGGGCAGTCCAGGAGCAGAACAAGCCACAGAGAGCAGGTATATCAATTCTCCAGGCCAATAATATTCCCCTCATTGATCGCAACACAAAGTTCAAAAATCTCATTATAGCCAGGCAGACCTAGAACTTTTTAAAAATCAATAGAGTGATATAATGTATGTATACTTTGTATAAATGTATCTATCCATCCATCCATCCATCCATCTATCCAAAATCTGCCTGAGGGGGTCTAAGTTAACCTACACATTATACTGTGTTATGGTCTATTGTAATGTAGCATAGTGAATGGATTAGAAGATTTCCCCTGCAGCCTTAGATGACATATTATAAAACGTCCTGTTAGCACTGAGGTGACATCAGACGGTTCCATTCATACTGAGATATGACATCAGATTCACCATTCGTACTGGGACGTGGCATCAGACAGCTCAGCTTCTACTAAGGGGAATCGTAAGATGAGCTTAATTATACTGAGATGGCTGATCAGGCTGTGCTGAATCATGCTGCATGAAAATTGCAAAGTTTCGAAAAGCCATTCAGAGTAAAAACAGCCTGTGAAACGATGGTGGTATAAAATGCCTGTCCATAATGCTTCTAAAACCCAGGCAGGGGATGAAGAGGAAGGCTCAATTTCCTTCCCTGTTCAGTTCGCAGTCTCTCAGCTGAGAATGCCAGTTAGTGCCAGCTGTGACTGTCTTTACTGAGATGTGTCCATTAGGAGCTGGAATGAGACTCACCAGCTCATTTCACCGAGTAGCCGTCAGCTGGTAATGATTTTCGGTCACTACCAACCAGAGCCAGATTTCAGCTAGTGACCCAGAGGTGTCAAAAACCTTCCCCTCCTAAGAATGAAACTGGTTTTATGTCAAGAGAAAGCGTCTGGAAACAGTAAGCAAAGGGGAGCAGTTTTGGTTGTGCAACCTCCAGTGGCTTGGGTCAAATAATTCTTAACATCAAATGCACGGCGAATCTAATGAGGTCTCAGGTAGAAGGTATTTTCTAAAAGAAGAGGCAGGTTATGAAGAGGTTCTCCCCAGCAATGTTCCTTTGCCCTACAGTCATGACCGAACTCTAGTGTTGTAAGGAAAGAGGAGAAATTTCAGTGCCCCGATGCTCAGTACGGAATACTGCAGTGCATCCCCCTGCGTCGATTCATTTAGGGACGGTGATAAACAGCAGGATAGCTAGGCATCACTGTTGCTGCTTTAAGAGGCTTTGAGTGAGTCTGTCCTACACAAGACCACCTAATGAAACAGCAGATGAAAGATGAACAGAGCTGACCTGGTCCTGTAGCAACAGATGCAGCATAATAATGCTGTCTTTAAACTCTGGGATTGCTGAAAGGTTCTCACCCTTACCTGAGACTGAAATATGCACCAAGCCAGCTCTGCTGCCTCAAACCTAGGATTTCTGGATTACTGCTGTGTAAGAGAGAGCAAAACCTTGATCACCTCTTGCTGCCTTTGATGGCTTGTTCTTTCCTCTAGATATTGGAGAAAGACAGGCCTTTTTGCAGAAAACTTCCTCAGCCCTTCCCAAAAGCAGAAGGGACACAATTCCTGGCACACCAGTCAGCAGTGCTGATTTCTTGAAGTAAATACTGATATTTTCAAATGTCTGTCTTTTCTCCAAAAGAAATTGTCACTTTGGACTAAATTCATCCCTGCTCTAATTCCATCACAGTCAGTGACTCCAATAACAGCATTTGTGTTTAATTAGGGGCATAAACTAGTACTTACTGTAAATACCCATTTTTCATTTTCCAGTGGGAGGTTTTGGCACAAGTCGTCTACTTTAAGTTTCGGAGAATATACACAGATTTAATATATAACCTTCTGAAGTTTCAGCAACAGGGCATTTATAGATCTTTGATTGCAGTAAAGCAACTGAACTTCATTTCACAATCTGAATTTAATATGCAATATTATCTTAAGTAATGGCATATAATGTCATTACAGTACATAGTATCATGCTGTGAATTATACATCCATTCCTGGAATTCATGAGTTATCATAGTGGGCTTGTAGTAACTCTTTCTAGAGTTAATACTGCATACAGCTCCAGCTGAAACCAACTGCCTGTTTCCAAATACCTTTGACTTTCTTAAACATTCAGATTAGAGCATGAATTTCCAATGTTTGATTTCTATTTTGTTATTTTCAGCAGTTTTAATGCAATTCCTTTTGCTGATTCTGAATACAGATGGACAGACAAAAATCATGTCTCCTAGTATGACAATTGTAACAAACTCTAATCAAATTTGGTCAAGAATGTAGAAAGAAATATTAGAAGTTAAAATTAGCTAAGCCATAGTCCATAGTCCTTCTCATAGTCTGAGAAACAGAACTTTCTTTCAATCCTTGTAAATAAGAAAGTAAAAAAATCACTTCTAAACCTGTCCAGGTTCCTATGACAGATCATAGGAAATGTCCCTCCCTTCTCTGACATTTCTATCCAAACTCTTGTATAGCTGACATACCCTGTCGTTTCTCCTCTCTTAGTATTGCCAGCAGAGTCTTTAGACAGTATCTCAAATAAAAAATCATACTAGGGCTGATCAGAGGGAGATGAGGTAGGTCTGAATCATCTGGGGTCCCAATATAGCAATTCTTTTAATCCTGGAAGAAGAGGTGAAGTTGCACTAAGGGAAAGAGTGGTGTGTCCTGCTGCCCCAAGGAGACGCTGACAGATGTCAGAAAGCACCGGTATTCTCACTTTGATCATATTCCTTTGTCATGGATTATTTTTCAGAGTGGAAGGATACACTCAGCAGAGCACCAAACTCCTTGTAATTGTTTTGGAGTATTCATATTTTAAATGCTCCATATTAGAAGCACATTACAAGACCCCAGGGTGTGCATTACTGGGCAATTAAAGCGGTTCTTGGAAGGCTAACATTGCGAAGCTTCAGCCTTTTCTCTGCAGCGTGTCCAAGGGCGGCTGTGATGGCGAAGGAACACACACCCTGCTGTGCCGCACTGCTTAATTAGCGCAGGGCTGTACGGCTGAGCCATGGGCTGTGCCGGCAGTGGAGACAAGGCAGCCTTCTGGGGACTTGGTGCAGGGCTAAGTGAGACAGTGATGCCTTCTCTGCATCAGATTGCTTCCTACAAAAGGGCTCATGACCATCCCAGTGATGCTGGTGTCAAAGCACGCCTGAGGAAAAGAGGGAGAACATG